GCGTTGGAGGTTGCTGTGAGCTGCAATGCCACAGCACTCTACTCAGGGTGACATAGTGAGACTCTGTCTCAAAAATAATAATAATAATAATAAGTTATCACTGCATAAACATTTAAATATTGATAGACAAAGTATTTATTCCTAAAAAAATAAAAACCCAGTTAAAAATTTAAATTAACTCTTAAATTCTGATATAAGTTCATGAGGTTGAGTTAAAGACATTATGGGAGACACAGGTAAATATTCATTAAAAAAATTACTTACCACTCTATCATCTCCAGGGGCTTCAGTGTTTGATATTATTAAGTTTTGCTGTGCTAAATCTTCAGGAAAATGTTTGCTTTTTTTTGCGCCATAAACTCCACATACTAAAGTTAACAATACAGCTAAGTTAAGAAGAAAAAACAAAACTTATTTTAAATGGTTGAAAAAAGTCAAAAGAAGAATAGTTTATGACATGTAAAAACTACAGGAAATTAAAATTTTCGTTGCTGTTTATAAAAATCTATTGAAACACACCCATACTGTGCCTATCATTTATATATGTTCTATGACTGCTTCCTTATCTACAGGATAGATTTGATAGATTATAATGAAAAACACATGACTTACAAAGCTTAAAATAGATACCATCTGGTCCTTTACAGAAAAAGTGTGCCAACCCTTGCCTACTCTATAGGGTCCCATACTACCTTTCTGGTTCCATTCCCCAATCCTCTTCTCCTTATCCACTACTCTCTAGTTACATTGCTTTCCCTGCCATTCTTTGATTTCCTTAGACAAAATCCTGAAGTAGGGCCTCATTACTGACTTCCCTCTCTATTAAAACTAACTCTTCCCCCAGGTATTCCATAGGCCTGACTATTCCACTTCTTCCTGAAATCACCAATGATAACCTTCTTGGGTCACTTATCTATGGACTGGCATCAATATTCTAACACTGAGGTCTCTAACCACCTACCCTACTCTGTCCTCCTGCAGCAGGCAAGCAATGGAAGCTTCGTCTGTATTTACAGCTGCTCCCCATTGCTCACATTACTGCCTGTTCACCACCCCTGTCAGAGGGTGACATTAGAATCTCACTCAATCAGGAGGGGTCTAGGTTGCACACTCCTCATGAAAATCTAATGCATGATGATCTGAGATGGAGAAGTAATGTGCCTGAATAATCCCCAAACCACCCCCCCATCCCACCTCAGTCTGTGGAAAAATTGTCTTCCATGAAACCAGTCCCTGGTGCCAAAAAGGTCGGGAACCACTGCACTAATAAGCACTTCACAGCACTGCAGATTTTAATTATCTACCTTATCTTTTTTCCTCCATAGCATTTAATTTATTTATTCATTTACTATCACAAGGAAAGATTGCTCATTTTTTTAAATTTTTGTTTATTTCGTTCACTGATGAATTCCAAGCACTTAGAACAGTTTATGGCCTACAGTAAGTGTTCAGTGTATATGTTTATTTTGTTGAGTTGATGAAAAATAATGAACGTATGCATGGTTTAAGCACTTCACATGCATTACCTCAATTACCCTCAGCACTTCCCCATATGGTAGGATACTACAATTATGCCCTTTTACAAGTGCGGAAATGGAAGCACAGTTAAGTAACTTGCCCAAGTCACATGACTTGCAAGTGATAAGGCTGAGGTACAAACCCAGGCAGTCTGGTTCCTGAGACTTGTTCTTTTTTTTTTTTTTTTT